TCCTTCTTGCTCTCCTTAGTCTCATAGGTTGCATCATACAGGGCATAGTGGCATAGCCCAGCAGCATCTTGATGAAGGTGGCATAGGGGTCGTCTACTGTCTGGTCCACATCACCTACCAGGATCTCCTTGCCCTCTTCCAGAATGATGTTCTTCTTGTTTTCACTCAGGTAGAAGAGCACCGCCTGCTTGCACTTCTTCGCCTCCTCTGGTGTCGAGGGCTTACGTACCTCCATGTCATTGAACACTCTGATGACTCCATCAGAGACAGGCACACCAGAGGCCATGTTTCCGGAAGCTAAAGGAGATAGCAAGAAGAGTCTGGAAAGATGAGCACCGCTGCAGCTGCTGCTGGGATCCGACTCTCTTTATTTTTATTGAAGTGAGATTTACAATACCTAAAGTGAACCCTTTTAAAGTAAATGATACAATGGCATTTAGTACATTCAGTGTTGTGCAACCACCACCTATATCTAGTTTCAAACCATTTTCATCACCCCAAAAGAAAATTCCATACCCATTAAACAGTTGCTTATAAAGCCATATACTTACATTTTGGTAAAATGTAGAGATATTAGCATCTAATAAAACAAGAGGTCGCCAGGCCATTCCTGTACACAGCACGCCCATCAGGTGCTGTTACTGTTGTCCAACAGCGAGGCAGGTCTGAACCTCGTGGAGATAGCAGGGCTCTGTGACTTAGGCAGGTCCTGGTGCCTTTAAATCTCAGGCTCCACAAGTGTGAAATGGGGTGAGTGTGCCCACCTCACAGGATCACAGGCATGAATGAGTACTCAGTGTCTGGCACAAAATTGGATGCTCAATGAAGATTGTGTCTTCTTTCTTTATAAGCAGTCAGGCAGCTTCTTGCTATGTGTATGGAAGGAGAAGGATTGGCTTTGCCAAAGTTGGTCCTGTCCAGGTTCATCCACAGCTGCTGTCCTTGATACTGTTGCAGCTGTCTAGCTGGCAGCCACCACTTATCTACTTGGAGCCTCTGCTGCCCCTGGAATTTTCCCACGCTCCCTAGAAAGACCCTGGCTTCTCATCGACACAACCTGCTGACTGCTAATCAACACAACTTGTATCCACTGTTCCCAGATTGAGTCCTTCCTACATAAAGGGCTTGCAATCTTTCTAAGCTACTCATCTATATATATAAAAGGCTAATATGCTAAGTGTCTGACGATCTGACTGGTCGCTATGATGCACAATGACCACCAGGGGGCAGATGCAAAACACAGGAGCTGCTGAGCTGCAGTGACTTGGCAGTGGCGGTTCTTAGGTGATGCACCCAGAAACCAGAGAGGAAGGAACCCGATTCCTCATGGGGCTGCGCAATTTCACCTTCGGCTGTTGTTGTTGCTGGAACACTGTTGACCCCAAATTTGGTTTACTGCACATTTGCGTTTGTGTTCCACACCCTGTATGACAGTAACTTTGTCCCGGAGTGCCCTCTCACACTCTGGGACCCCTCAGGGGATGTTGGAGAGTTGGTTTCAGCCCGATCCCTCAGGCCAGGTTGAGGGACCCCACCTGCCAGAGGGACTGGACTCACTCCACAGATGCTGGGGAGGGACCACAGGAGGTCGGCTCCAGGGCATGCCCAGCCCATTTCACCCAGTCCCGCCCCACCGACCACCTTCTAATTAACTTCTTTTCAATGTGCACAAATCCGTGCACCGGGTCACTAGTCTTTAATAAAAATGATAATAGTAGCTGCCATATATCAACCCTACCTGTGCCTGGGCTTACACCCTCTATCTCTCTGCCTCCTCTCTGCAGGGTGAGGCTCAGAGAGGTGGAGAAACTCAGTCAAAGTCATAGGGTCAGTAAGTGGCAGCCTAACTGGCTCCCAAGTTTCTCTACTGTACTACACTTCCTGAGCTGTCTCCATTCCATCTTCTACCTCAAAAGGTGGAGGTTCCACAGTTGGTTCTAACGTTTGAATGTGGCATCCAAATTTGATAAACATTGTTATAAAACAGCGATGGACCTTTCACACGCCTGGAAAGAATTTTTAAATGCCAAGGTTGTGCCTGCTCAGGGCACATACAAGAATCAACCAATGAATGCAAAAATAAGTGGAACAACAAATAGCCCTCTCTCCTCCCTCTCACTCTAAAAATCAATCAATAAAAAATTTAAATATATGGTAGTACAGGGAAGTCTCTTGGTGTTGAGGGACCAACAAGGTGGAATCAGAAACTAAAGAGACCTCATCCCAAATCCCAGCTCCACTACTGTATAAAATGGAGATATTGCCCCCGCCCCCGCTCCCCCACACACTTCCTGGGGATGGGCCGCTGCTGGCCTCTAGTGGCCACTGGATAAATTGCACAGTGAGTTGGCCTGAGAATAGAGATGTGTGAGAAGCTTTTCTCCATTTCTGAATCTATCTGATGGTGGAGTTCTCAAGCTTGACAGATCCATAACTCCCTCTTCCATAAACTGTTATCAACACTCTTATTTCATAAGCTTGGTATGTTAATGTCATTTTCATGGTTTTAGAAACCTGTTACTCCAGATTTTAATTTGCCTTTGACCCAATACTCAGGAGGGAAGTGTGTGTGTGTGTGTGTGTGTGTGTGTGTGTGTTTTGTTTTGTTTTGTTTTAGTTGTTGCCAGAATATGGAGCCTATATAATTCCTCCTTTGGAAGGGGAAGTTTATTATTTGTAGTCTATTTTATAAATGATTTGTAAAAGTATTTGAAAAGGGACATGTTCTGTGGGGTAAAGTTTAAACCTGATGATAAAGCCAAACACTCACAGTCTTATATGGTTTCCTTTCCTGGGACATAGGCTACCGTCAGATCTGCACCCACACCTTTTTCAGTGCTGGTGTCTTTGGCCCAGTTTAAGTCTGTAATCTTCGTCGTCCATATCCATCCTCTTTGTCTCATTGATTCCCCCATGTCTTTCTGCTCTGCATGTGGAGAATTTCTCAAATGTGCGAGTTCACCCTTGTTTGAGTTTTCCGCAGTGTGGAATCCGCTCCTCTGCCATCAACGCAGATTTCATCTCTGTCACTGATTTTGCTTCTGTGTGTTCTGCATTTCAGCAGGCTGTATCATTTGAGGTTTTTCTTGTATCTTACTGAAAACATAGAACAGACATTTCCTCACATTTTCCATAGCAATTGATTTCTACTGTCTTTTCTACTATCACCTTTAGAACTGGCAAGAGGAGCTCCTACCTGGGCCCTGTACTTTCCTGTCCCCCTCATACAAAATAATTAAATGTATCAAGGACCACAGACATCTCTGTCACTCAGGATCTGGCCCACAGCCTGGCACAACATGACCTAACCAAACACCCACTCTCTTGACTGGGAGGTGCTGCTTCACATCTTACCTAAGTCTATGGGGGCAAAACTGCAACTGCCTCTGCAGGTTTAATGAAAGCTCAATGGGGCCCACCCTAGGTACTATTTGAAAGAGCAAAGAGGCTTTGAGTAGAAAAGTACTGAAGAGAAAAGACAAATTAATAAACTTGTCAGAGCTTTCCTCTCAGATAGCAATAGAAGTGAGTGCAATGAAATAGCATTTTCTAGTAATGCCGAGTGTACAATTTCTTCTTTTTCTTGTGTTCCTGTTCGTGGTTCTGGAGGTACCTGTGAATTAGTACAGTATTTGCCTCAGTCGTAAATGGAAGCTGAGGACATTTTTGCCATTACATAAATCACATTACACATCACTCTTAAATTTGTCTATATGTCTGCACTTTAGACATAACATGATACTAATTATTTACACTGGTAACTAGATGGACATTGAATGCTAGAATTCTAAATTTTAATATTTTTGCATAAAAAGTTACTTAAGTTTTAAGTTAAAGTTTTAATTAAATTTGTAATTTAAAATTTAAAGTTACTTAAAATTTAATTAAGCTTTCAAAGACACAGTCAATTTGCATGGTTAAGACCAGAGTATTTCCAAGAGAGTGATGATGTCACAGAACTGGGGTTCCAGGAGGCAAGGGGTGGGGGATGGGGGTTGCCCAGCATTCCCACCTTCTTTAGAACAGGCAGAGCTATGAGCTGGGCGGGGCTAGAGTATAGTTCATGAGGAAGAGGAGACTCCTACCCAAACAGCTTTGTTCTACAGATTCTCACAGAAATTCCTGGGCCAGTTGGGACTGGAGTCAGAGAGGGTTAGGAGAGAGGTAAGCTTCAGCAGGGGAGGTAAGAATGCACCTGCCAGAACCACTGTCTTCCCCAAGGGGACCTCAAGAGTGGACGTCATTGCTTTCCAAGGCTCAGTGACCCGCGTCTCTGAAGGAACCTGCTCAGTCAGGGCAGGGTAGGGTTGCATGAGACTTACTTACACTAAAAAACTATTCGTAGTTTGTCTGAAATTCTTGTGTAACTGGACATCCTGTGATTTTATTTGCTAAGTCTGGCAACTCTAGGGTGGGAGAGAGAAACAAAAGAATGGTTGCAAGCTCAGGATGGCATGGAGTGAGTCTTAGAAGACAGAACAAAAGATCTGGGAGGAGACAAGGCCATCAGGGTAGCCACCTTGTTCAAGCAGAAACTGCTTCATGTCTGACTCAGGGAGCTGGTGGATAGAGAAACCAACGCCCTTGCTCTCAGGAACATATACCTAGTTTAAGGGGAAAGATACACACATACACACACGCACATACACACACGCACACGCACAAACACCACTAGTGTCAAAAATAGCCGTGTCACATATAGAAATTTTTGTTTTCATGGCATTGGCTGTTTTGAAGACTATAAGCCAGTTATTTTCTAGAAGTTCCCTCTGTTTGGCTTGTCTGATGTTTCCTTGGGATTAGATATAGGTTATGCATCCCTCATCAGAATAGTACATAATAATTAAGAAGAGACGAAGCAGCCAGGAGGGGAGCAGTGAGTGAGCGAGGATGTTTGGCTTCTCTTTCCAGATTTCTCAGACTTTCAGAGAGAAAGCCCGCAGGAAGTCTGTGAGACCCTAAGAACCGCAGGCCCTCAGCTAACCTTCTCCCCTCCGAGGATGACAAGGGCATTATTCATCTCCTTGTTCAGCTGCCTTGTTGCCATAACCCAGGCCAGCCTCATCAACCGCTGTGACTTAGCCAAGCTGCTGCACCAGGAAGATTTGGATGGGTTTGAGGGCTACTCCGTGAGTGACTGTGAGTGCCATTTCCTCAGCCCCACCCCCATTTCTCCTGTCCTGGTCATCTCCTACTTGGCCATCGTTCTTTCTCTCTCTCGTCTTTAAAAGCCAAGTTCAAAAAGCAGCCCCCTCCAAGACACCTTTCCCAACATTCCATATTAATTCAACAATTATTTATCGACTATTTGTTACATACCAGGAACTATTTTAGGTGCTAGGGATATAAACAAAGCCAATTCTCTCATAGTGTTCACATTCTGGGGAAGAGACAAGCAATTAACAAACACAAAAATATATAAAGTACTTCCTGGTGTTGACAAGTGCTATGCAGAAGAATAAAGCAGGGGGCAGTTGATAGGTAACACTGTACTGGAAAGGGAAGTTAAGGAAGGCCTTTCTGAGGAGGTGACATTGAACAGTGCTGCATAAAGTAAAGGGCATGGTCACCCAAATGTCTAGGTGAGCATTCCAGTCAGAGGGAACAGTCAATGCAAAGGCTTCACACTATTGCATGCTAGGGATATCTCCATTTTGCCCAGAATTTGTGCACACCAGTCCTACAACACTTTCATCTTTTAATTTATTTTGTGGTATTTGTAGGTCCATATCTTCATTCTTGTACTATAGGCCATTTGAAGGCGGCATCTGTCTTTGGCCCAACTAAATGTCCCTCACTGGATTTTGCACAGTTTCTGGCACACAGTAGGTGATTATTAAGTGCCGGAAGCATGGATGGAAAGATGAATTGTTAAACTGATGGGTGGGCTGATGGACCAAAGGATGGAAGGAGAAGCTGGGAGGTGTTTCTAGCCCACGAGCCCCATCTAGCCTCTTAGCCCTTGTTTCTTTCTTTCGAGTCCCCATTTCCCTTTCTCCTTCATCTCCCTTCTCCCTCAGCTTGGCCTCCTCTAGCACGCTCTTCTCTTTTTTCCTAAGGGCTGTGCCTAGCGTTTGTGGAAAGCCATTTCAATATGTCAAAGGTAAATGAATATGCAGATGGCAGCTCTGACTATGGCATCTTCCAGATCAACAGCCACTACTGGTGCAACGATTACCAGAGTCACTCGGAAAACACCTGCCACGTGGCATGTCAAGGTCTGGCCAGGCCCCGGCGGGGGGGCAGGGTGGGGGGAGAGATGACCAAGTTCTACTCACAGCACTTCTCTCTCCACTTGCAGTCTGAAAGTGCTCCCAGAGGGATGGCTCAAGGAATCAGGGGCTTCCTTTACTGAGCAGGTTTGACTAGTGCCATAATGCTCATCAGTTAGGAGAGTCTTCTGTGTCCTCGAGCAGGGTCCGGAAGGGCTCTGCACAGCCTGCAGCAGTAGAGCAGCAGCCAACACCTATTGAGAGCATGTTATGTACTAAGCACTTTACATGCATAGCTGATTTCATCCAACTTTCCATGCTGTGAAAACCAGTATTCCCACTTTACAGAAGAGCAAACTGAGGCTTATCGAATTAGTGGTGGCCAGACTGGTGATCCTGGGGGCTAACCAACAAGTGTCCCTCTAAACCCATGGTCAGCAAACTGTGGCTCACGAGCCACATGCGACTTTTTGGCCCCTTGAGTGTGGCTCTTCCACAAAATACCACGTGCGGGCGCACGTCAGTGCGATTGAAACTTTGTGGCCCGTGCGCAGAAGTCGGTTTTCAGCCCGGGCGAGTCTATTTTGAAGAAGTACTGTTGATATTTGGCTCTCTTGACTAATGAGTTTGCCGACCACTGCTCTAAACCAATAAGTGTCTTTAGCTAATGATCTGACCAAAAGCCAAGGGCAAACTCTCCATTTCAGAGCTGGTCCAGTAGACTCCACAGGTGCATAACTCTGCCCCTCACCTCCTCTTTTGTATTCTGATTAAGGTCCCTGGACATTTACCTAGAGAGTTCCCTCATTCGTCAGGACTTCACTGTGCTTAGAAACTCCCAAAGTTTGGGTGAACCACCATCTACTCTGGCTAAAAATTATAATAGTAAACAGATCCAAATCTCAGTCTTCCTGTCCCGACCTTTGGCCACCCCAACCTCCAGCAGGCATTGTAGGGATGTCTACACGGGCCTCTAGGAGGGAGGCCTTGCCTACTCTGGAAGTACTCAGCACCCAGGAAACACCCGCCTGGGCGGGAGAGCAAGAGTCTGCCTCGGTCTCTGGGACTGTCCTCTGCTCTCACAGGTATTCTCTTTCTCCTTTTCAGAACTGCTGAGCCCCAATCTTCTCGCAACCATCCACTGTGCAAAAAAGATTGTGTCCAGAGCAGGGGGGATGAAGAACTGGTGAGGAGGACACTGTAGGACTAAGTTAGTGGGCAGAGCCCCAACAAAGGTGTGGTGACAGGGAAAGGGGCAGTAGGCAAGGACCAGACCTTTTCTACAGTCTAGACCAGTGTGGGACAGTAGCAGGGCTTGGAACTCTGACTTGAAGACCTGGAATCTAGTTCTTTCTCTGATATTAAAGAAAAGTCTTTTGGCTGCAGTAACAAAACAACCTGAGCTAGCTGAGGGAGAGTTGAGCTGAGAAGACTCGGTGACTTGCCGAGCCCGCAGAAGGTGGGCAGCTGGGCCTCAGGAACACGGTGGAAGTTGGGCTGGAAATTGGCAGGTTTCTGCTTCTCTTGGTGCATTTGCTTCACTACTCCCTCTGCAGACCAGCTTTCTCTGCTACGTTTAGGGTCTAACATCCTAAGCAACCACTGGGACTGGCTAAGCCCAGGCCCATTCTGGGAAAGAGAATCGATTGGCTCAGCTTCGACCCCATGTGCCGACTTGGTTCAATCAGCCGTAGACACGGGAACAATTAAAATAATGCAATCATGGCTGCCACAGGGGTTCTCTCTTCATCACTGGCAGCAACATTTTCTATAAAAATGTGCTGCTCATCATCTGGCTGTCAGCCCCAAAGTTGTCAGCTTACCAACACTGGACGTTGGGATGGTCACATAACTTTCCTGTGCTTTAAACTGGATACATAAATAATGTACAAGCCTGCCTCTGCAGGCAGCTGTGAGGATGGAAGGAGTTAAGTGCCTTGCATACTCTAAAAATGCCTTGCAAAACAAGGGGCATGATGACTGTTAGGGCTGAGCCTTTCTGGAGGGAGAGTCGTACCTGGGATATTTATATATTAGTAACTCTCAGCCCGTAAAACAGTGTTCTCCCCCTTCAGAAAGAGAGGATTTTAAAATGTCAAAGCACACTGACTGGGGGTAAAGTACAAATACCATGGACAAAGGAAACTTACAGGAAGAATCAGAGGGGCGGCAGAAAGATAGATGAGAGAGCTAGGCACGAAGTTGCTCTGCGTGGAAGACTCACTAAGAGCTGGGTCACGTGTGTGGGAAGCAAGAACCCGTCTTTTTCTCTCCACAGGGCAGAATGGTCAATACACTGTGCCGGCCGGCCACTCTCCTACTGGGTAACAGGATGCCACATGGGATGAGGCAGGGTGCCGGCTTGCTGTGGAGTCATTCTAAAACTCCTCTCCTCCCATGGGGACTCTGCCTCTTGCCTCCACTTCCTGTTATTTTCTTCCCTTCCCATTTACAAATAAAACTAACCAGAGCCCCAGGAATAAATGGTTTTCTCGGGCTTACTCCTTGTTCCCATCCAGGCCCAGGACCCTGGCTGCTGATTGTCATTTGTAAACCAAGAGGACCACATTGAAGATGTTTCTGTATTTTGGGAATTATTAAACCATTCTTTGTGCAAAGAATGTGTTAAGTATTCATGATTAATTCCACATATCTGAGAGCACCTAATGTAGTTGGAGTATGTTAGGTACTAGAAGAAGGAAGATGAAACCTAACCATTGTTCCTGAGGTGTTCATCATCTCGGTGGAGAAGCAGAGACACACAGGAATAATGGATGCATAAGTGAACGGATACATACATTCTAGCCCCTTCTCCCAAAGCACCCCCACATCAATGGCACCTAGCACCATTTCTCCACTCCACCACCGCTTTCTTCACCTTAGTACACCTGACTCTTAGCCTCACCCATTACCGACTTCTAAGCCTTTTCTTACTTCAAAAATAGTTGGCTGTGGAGAAAATACTGGGGTCCTGATACTGTTTCAAACCAGTAATTATAGATTTCATTCTCCATTTCGTTATCCATCGTATCCTCCATTCTCTCCTACTGATAGAGGATGACAGGGGTGGGATGATGAACCAAGCTTGTTGGTCGGACAGATCCAAATTCTCATCGCCACCTTTGGGACAAGGGGTGGGAAACAGATAAATACATAGCTATATTCAGCGGTATTCTAGCGAAAGTTTAACAACCAGTACTCAAAAAGAAAACTCCTCTCCTCCCTAATTTGTAACCTTTGACGATGTTAGTGATGTACTTCCCCACCATGAATGTCTTCAAGCCACCAACCTGCTATCACTAAATGCCAAGCTGGGAAGAGATGGGTTAATAGACGCTAGTGGAGGGCACCACGGGATGGTTCCCTCAACGCCGGGGAGTGATACATGCTCTAAAGAAAAAGAAAGCCCAGTACTCTGAGAGTAGCCGGGAAACACCTTTCTGAGGCTGTAGAAGGCAGACAGACTACCATCCATTGCACACCTGAAGGTGGAAGCTGCACGCTCCTCCTCCTCCGAGCACCAAACGGATTTACGACTTACATAGATGAACCAACCTGAGCAGCCAACTGAAGCCTACCTGAACACAAGTGTTATAACCAACGGTTTACAGAAGAAGCCGCATAGAAACTGAATAATACTGAATGTAAACTGTAATTGAAAAAAATTATTTTTAAATGGTCCTCTCTATATAAACTAAAAGTCATTCCCTTTGACAGATGAGAAACTAGAGACCCAACCTGGGAAGACATTTGACATGGAAACTCAGGAGAGGGGAACAGGGTGGAGAGACGAAACAGGTGGATTTACTCTCTCTCCCCCACTCCCATGGCTCCCTCGCGGTTGGGGGAAGTGAGAACACAGGCCCGTTTGGCAGGAAATGAGGAAAGTCTAGTCCGCTCAAGCCTGTGACTTGCATGTGAAGGCGGCACACAAAAGTGACTGGTCGGATGCTGGCTGAGTCTTGCCAAATCCATCTCTCAGCACATCCAGAAACGGGCCGAGAGGGCCGGCCAGGACCTTGAGCCTGTGAGGACCGAGGTCCAACGCGGAACGAGCTCCGCGGCCCAAGGCGGGAAGGCAGATGCGCGCGCAGTCTCCTCCGGCGCCAAACAGCTCGCGTCTCCAGGCCGTACCACGAGAGGAAAAGGCGCAGGGGAAGACCATCCCTGGTTTTACCGATGGAGCCATTATTTTATGCAACAAAATTAGATCCTTTCCTTTTGTTTTAATTTTTATGTAGTTGCGATGAACTTGAGCCAAATAGGCTTTCTCTGACGAGCAGGATCCTGACTTGCCTACCTGGATCTTCCCCGCGCACCCCTCCTCTCGTTTTAGCTTCCTGCTCGCCTCACCTTTTTCAGCCAACCCTGGCGAAGCTTCTGCGTTACGTCACGAGTTTCTAGGCAGATCAGGAGCGCCCTCGCGCGCCCCCGCCTGGTGGCGCCTCCTCGAGCGACCAAACGGTCTCGGCGCGTGGCGGG